GCGGGGGGGTCTACATCACTTCCCCATCGCGGATCACTCGCTTTAAACCCTCTGGGGTCTGACATGCGCTGACATCTGTGCTTACTTCTGTTACTATAGTCTATACACTACTCAGCACAAACTCTGCTACAGTAACATGTCAGCAGCAGCATGTATGTAAAAGTTTGTAGTTTTGATATAATGACGTCGATGCGTGGTTTGTAAAAAAAAAAAAAAAAATATCATATATAAATTAACTAAATTAAGATTTTTTTTTACAACAAAAGAATTATTTCTACAACAAAAATGAAACCATCACATGAAGCTGACTCGACTATCTTCACCATGGCTGTTGTGTGTGTGTGATCAGCACCTGCTGCAGGCGGGCAGTGCCATCCTGTCGGCGAGCACACGCGGACACTGGCAGCTCATCCAGCAGACGGAGGGCGGCACGGCGGCACTGCTGCAACAGTTCGAGGAGTACACCAACACACTCGCCCAGAACATGAGGAAGACCTACCTGAGCCCCTTCACCATCGTCACGCCCAACATCGGTCAGCACACACACCTCACTGTCAGCAAACACACACCTGCAAAATCAGTGCTTCTGATTGGCTAAAGAACCACAGGCCACGCCCACTGACTCTTTCAGCCAGTAATAGACATTTCAGTGGACTCTGTTTAAGGCTTTAGTGTGGTATCTTATGTGATATAGTTTTAGTAGCGCTGCCCTCGACTAAAACATGTTCTAGTCGACTAGTAATCGTTAATTTATGCGATTAGTCGACTAATCGCGCGTTTATATTAATAAGCCATAAATCACAATAATGCGCCTTTAATTCTATATAAAATACAGAGCCTAATCAGCGCTCACATGCACACATAAAGCTTGCCACAGCGCAACGGCAAATGTAATGATTAGGAATGTGTCATGAAAAAACCCCACATTTAAATCATGTATTGGTAATGTTTCTGTGTTTTCGGCTGCAGAGATTAAGTCACGATGCTGACTCATCATCTCCGCAGTAGTGGAGTGCATATATGCACGGTTACATAATCTGAGCATATTTATTTTCTATTGGAATCTGTTCATTCAGATGTAGACATTTCAAGCTTTCTATAGATGTATTTCTCATGTCTGTGAGGCGAGTATACGCTGAGTTTCGGTTCATTTATGTGATGCGCTGAAGTTCACTGAGACCGAGACGGCAGAAAGCGGCGTTATTTTACAAAAGCGTGACGTTTTGTTGTTATTGTGAGTTTACAGAAATAAAAGTAGACCCTTTCCAGTTTGCATTACTCTCATCTGTATGACGAAAAATGAGGGAGTATTTTAAATGAAATGCAGTGATGTGTGTGTCATGCAGTAAGAGCTCTCCACACACACTTGAATATGCGCCTAATAATAGTGCGCGTTTGTCTAGGTTAGCATAAGAGCTAACAGACTTTAAAAGTTGCTACTTCTTACATGTTCAAAGTGATACTAGCCATATTTGAGGTGGATGAATGATAGGCGAATGTTTGGATTTCCTGCCGTTAACGATTTGTCCGTCACAGACTGATTTCGCGATTTCTGCGACTAACCGACTAATAAAATCTTAGTCGACCAAATCTCTTCTAGTCGACTAATGGCTAGTGGACTATTAGGGGCAGCCCTAAGTTTCAGTGTTCTGGTATTGTAAAAGGACTTGTCTGTGTGTAATTCCAGTCATCTCCATCGATCGCTTGGAGAAGATGAATTTCGCGGGAGCCAAGCTTCCGCGGTATCAGTCTCTGCGCGGGCCACGCCCACTCGACCTGGAGACGGCCGTCACTCTCCCCGACTCCGTCTTCATCCCCGCCCCCGAGGGCAAAGGTCACCGGCACCACAGCGAGCCAATCACAGAGCCCGGCAGGAACCACACGGCCAATCGGAAGAGACGGCACCCGGAGGAGCGCGAGCAGGACGCCATCGCTAGCGTGATCATCTTCCACAGCCTAGCGGCGCTGCTACCCGAGCGATACGACACGGACAAGAGGAGCCTGAGGTGAGGGCGGACCAGATGAGTGCCTGAGAGGCTCACTGATTCACTGATCTAACGCTGTGTGAGTGTGTGTGTGTGTTCAGGGTTCCCAAGCGTCCGGTCATCAACACTCCTGTGGTCAGTATAACGGTTCATGATAACGAGGAGTTACTGCAGCACAATCTGGATAAACCAATCATAGTGCAGTTCCGCCTGGTGACCACTGAGGAGCGCTCTAAACCCATCTGTGTGTTCTGGAACCACTCCATAGTGTGAGTACTTGCACGATTAATACTCAAATACTTGCATTATTGTGAGTACTTGCACGATTAATACTCAAATACTTGCATTATTGTGAGTACTTGCACGATTAATACTCAAATACTTGCATTATTGTGAGTGCTTGCACGATTAATACTCTAATACTTACATAGTTGTGAGTACTTGCACGGTTAATGCTCATGTATTACTATTTTGGTACTTGCACGATTAATACTCAAATACTTGCATTATTGTGA